TAGTTTAAATGTAAAATATTTAGTTGACGTATTTAACCATCGAGTTTTCTTAGAATCATTAAACCTCTTGGTTTTTCATTTCGACATAAATAAGTGACGAAAGTTGTGGAAGATCATATCATTAAAAAATGATAAAGAATAAATCTAGAAGTTAAATATAGTTTAAAGTAATACAACAACACTTAGCAAATTAAAAAAATCCTTAATGATTCAAAAGGTTCAATTAAAGATTAACAACCTGTTTGTTTTTTCTGTCACATGTCCCATCTATTTATCGAAGTGATGAAAGTCTTTGCGTTTCTTACAGCATGCGCCAGTTTCAATTCGACTAGACGAATAAATTGGTTATGCATTCAAGTTGAGAATGTTTTGTTTCTTGCTCTACTTCCATCTCGTACCTGAATTCGTATGTTCCTTATTAGATGTTAGTTTCAACCAATGATATGTATACTAATCTTTACTGATTGAGACAAACATAAGAGAATCGCACAACATATTCAAAATAATATTTTCTATTTAGGCAAGCGCAGAAAAGTATTAACTCATTATCGAGACATCAAAAATTAAAAAAATCATATTTTTATGAGTTTTATTTGTCTGACCTCTATTGACAATCTGTTTTAAAGTTTCTGTGAATTGCGATTAGAGTCCATCGGGTTCTAATCGACATTGCTTTAGAATTATTTAATTTATCGAATATTCTACTTTTAAATAATTAGAATTGTTATTGCATTGTTATTCGGAGAAAATATTTTAAATCTGCAGAAAGTAATTTAAATTGAATGTGAATAGAAGTCTTCAGAGAATTCATACTGACACATTTTGAAAATCTATATGATTGATAGTCAACAATTTACAATTTTTTAATGAAAAGGCAAATGATCAGTTGAAAAGGTTTCCTCACTAATCTTTGTATTACTTTTGATTCTTCAAGCTGAAAGAGATAGAAAATGAAACAAGATAACATTTCGATTTTGTCGAGAATGCGAAATAATCAAATTTTTGAATAAAAAATAAAATCTTCTTTACAATTTATCATAGAAGGATTTTCTTCAAAGTACTCAGCTTTACTGAATCCTAGATTTTTCATCTTAACAAATAAAAAAAAATTACGTTTCCAACGACCAGTTGATAAAATTTAGAGACAAAATTGAAAGCCGACATGATTAAATTCCTGATTATGAGAACTTCATTGAAGCCTATCAACTTCTTGATAAGGAGAGATATTGATTGGTCGATTAATTATCGACATAAATCATTTCATATCATCAGCTGTCTCACATACGATCAGAATGTCAGCAGTGTCAAAGTTCAAGAATTCTGTTAATTGATTCAGTTTTTCTTGTACACTTATGTACTTCATTTTATATCTTTATCTCTGCTTAGAAATCAAAATTCTATTTAGAATTTTGTTTTTCCAGCAGAATTGTGTCAGAATTGTTAACCAATATGAATCATATGTAATTAACTTATTGACTGTTAAATCTTTTTTTTTGAAACTACATAAAAAAATTTTCACAAAAAATAACTTTTAGAAGTTCACAGATATTTAAGGATAATACAAAAATGTTTGCGGCAAGTATGTTTTGTTATTTTATATAAAGAATGGAACTTGTTTTTCAATAACAAAACGCAAAAATCTTAATGCGACAAAAGTATTTTCGAAATTTAAAGTTTTGTTCAAAAATTTAGTAAGATATAGTATACACGAAAATGTGGATCACTACAAAGTGCAACGTTACAAATTGTACATTTGTATCTGGATTCACTTCTTGTGCGATTAATAGAGTAACAATAATTAATTCAAAGGTAATATTTAAAAAGGAGATCTACACTCAATATGAACAATGATACAATTGACACAGACAATCATGGCTGATATGAAACATTAGAACCGGTAGAGAGAACTTGCTCAGTACAGAATGTTTGAGTCGATACAGAGCATATAAACAAAACAGAGTTAACAAATTTTAGTCTTTATATTGTCCATAAAGATTGCTTTGACAAGCATACTCCTCAATAACAGTTAACAAGTTAACAAACTTTAAATAATCTAATCCATATGTAACCATTTTCATTATGGAATTGTAATAACAACATAATAAAATCGTAACACTATGCGAAAATTAATTAGACTAATTTTAATTACGAGATAATTCATTTCCTAATAAGTATATATCACTCGAATTTGATGTTCGACTGTATAGAGTATTTTATATTGAAATTTAAAAAATACATGTTGAGATTCGTATGTCATATTATGTATTAAAAAAATAAATATATATGTAGAATGAGTTTTATGTTTATGTATGATCGATGATTTATATAACAGGAAATTTTCGGTCTTTATAATAACCATTTTCAACCTTTGGAACTGTTTGATAGAAAATCAACAGTAGAAAAAAAAACTAAAGATGAACAAAAACCAATATTAACATGAAAAACGAATATGTTCATAATGCATAAACTTTAGGTTTGCTAATTACATTTATAGAATATTAAAATGATTATTATTACATTATATATCAGAGGTGTCCACAGGGCAGGGCAGGGTGAGTCTTCATACCTTGCAAATTTAAACTTCAAACTTTGACATTTCGATCTCGAGAAAAAAGCGATTTTTGAGCCGTTCAAATTCGAAAATTGAAAACATATTGTAAAGAACAGCACCAGATGTATTCATATCTTCATTTGTAGATGTATATTCGAATGAATTTGGTAGAAATAAGAAATAAATAAAATGATTCTCGAAAATTTGTAGTTATACTTCTTATTTTTGTAATTTCCTATATTAAAATAAAAAATTAAATGATACATTTCGCAGGATTTGATTTGATTATGAAATTTGCATGTTATCTGGTGCTGATCTTAGTGTTGGTGTACCGAACAAACAAATATTTCCTTGATTATTTCAATGAATCATCATGATCTCCTTAAAATTCTTAAACTTCTCAACAAACAATTTATTTCTTTTCAAACGAAGATGAAAAATTTTCTCGTCTTGAAAATAATAATCCAACACAATTATCGGCGCCTTGACAGTGTACTTCTGTATAAGTAACCGTTAAAAATAAAAATAGATTTGAATCCACATCCCTTACTTATCTTATCCTTTTGTGATATTGATATATTTTTTCAGTTGAACTGGAGTTGGTCTTATTGTAAAATATCTTTAGACAAAATAATGCTTTTCGATACAATTCACGAATCTGATTGCCTTTGAAATCGATTGAGAAACAGAATTAAGACAGTATATCAATTTTGTGAGGTAATCTTTCTTTCTCTCTCCTCTTTTCTGAAGCAAGGTATAGGACTCGCTTTTTCTCTTATGCTTCTTTTTATCAACAGGGTAGAGCAGGGCAGGGTGAAGATGTGTGCTGGGTGGAGACAGGACAGGGTGCGAAAAATCACTCTGTGGACACCTCTGTTATATATGTCATGATGTTAAGATGTTAATATTTTCATGGTATTAGGTGTATGTATGTCATTATAATGTTAATATTGATGATATTGATATTACGTGATATTCCTATATCATATCTGGTTTATACCTTATGGGCATATTCGTTTTTTGTGTTAATGTTCCATCAAACAGTTTCAAAGATTGAAAATGATCGTTAAAAAGACCACAAATTGCCTGCTATATAAATTATCCATTGTACATAAATATTAAATTCATTCTATATATATATTCAGTTTTTTGATACATGATTTAAATCATGTTGAAATTCTGCATGTAAAAGAAAATATCAATCTGAATAATGTCAATTATTGTCATGAAAAACAACATAATGATTCAAATCATGTTGATGTTCTGCATCTAAATCAGCATTATACTGAGAACTATTTTTACAACAAAGTTTAACTAGAATTCTACGTACCTAGGAGAATCGTGTTTCACGACATAGACTTATTCATGCACCTAAATGACAAATGTTACCACCATTCCGGTGTGGATGTGTATGTGGATACATGATTTATGGTGTTTCTCAGGTTGTGAATGTGATTGAAACATACACACCCCGCACCCCTAACATAAACTTGGCAGATAAACTTCATTGTATATATTTCATTATCACTGTTTTATATTATATATCTCTTGCTTTCGTTGTAAAAATGAATCCTGTTTTTATCTAAATTTATTTGATAAAAAATCTTTGACTAAATATCAAGACAAGTGAATACACAAGTTTGTCTAATTCATTTTTTTTTTCAACTTGATATTTTCAAACCTATTTTCAGTTAATATTATCAGAAAGAGTATATCAAAATACAATGAAACTACTCATTCACATCCTTTCCGATACCTCATCCTTTCTAGTTCAAAGCATTATGTTACTTTGAAGAATGATGAAGAGACTTCGTTTATGTTATGCGAAATGACGTTGAGTGTGTAAACGATTGGTGTGACTAATCGTTATAGAGTCATAGTCTGACACACTAAACTCTTCACAATTCAACCATATCCTTCAATCTGTCAGAAAATTCAAATTCAGCAAAGATAGTTTTTGGCTCCTCTCCTCTTGTAGGCTGCATTGTATTTGGGTATATTAGAACGCCATGGATGTCCGATTTATGATTCATATGAATCAAATGCGGTTGAAAAATCCTCAAATGGTAGAAACCTAGAAGTAGGAATTCAATAATCGGACTGAGAAGACTGGATACGGCTTCTTCCCTTAGTCAAATTTCAAAGCCATATATATACAGTCACAGTCTCCAAAGGGTTAAAAAATCTGTAATACTTATCACAAATGATTGCTTGCAGAATCCATCCTTCATTTAAGCGATCGATTGTTCATCGAACTTCGTGAAAGCTCATTCCTATAGTAAGTTAAAGGATATGTACGTTTCAAACTATTGAAATGCACTTTGGTCGAAATTTTATTTACAAATCAATACATATGAGATGAAAAGAAAAACAACAGATAATTTATTGTTTCTTTTTTTTATAGAATAGTTTTAAAATCATTGATTAGACAGAATAAATGTATTCAGATTTATTCACTAAGTTTATTTACTACATTTTGATGAAGTGTTATATTTTGTACATAAGCATCAACTGTTAATGGAATTATATCAATTATTTGTTTAATAAGTCCAGCAAAACGAAATACAGCTTCTTTATAACCATAACGAAATATCATATATTTCCAAAGAAGTTCAGCATATTGATTTTGATAGAAGAATAATTGTTTAGTTTTTCTTAATATATAATCTTCATAAATATTTATCGAATTATGAATCATAAAACAATTTGAAGAAAATGAAATAATAACAAGAAAAACTCTTACAAGTATTGAATCATAATCAAGACGTTTTATAACAGATGCTGCTCGTGTAAGTATTTCAATATCATATAAAGAAGCAAAAGCAGATAAATATGTTATATTTTCAAAAATACCTGATTCACGTAAAATAAGTTGACCCATTAAACTAGAAGTACTATGAAAATTACGTTGATAAATACATTGTTGTTCAGCAATAGTAAATATTCGAAATTCATTTGTACATTTTATATAAGATTGTAATGATGTATAAAATGAAATAAGTAAATTTGGTATTAATTCTTGTGCATGTTTTACACGTATTTTAAGTGGTAATTTTGATTGACGTTCAATTTCATTCTGTATAGATATTACTGGACTGAATATATCATAGGCATGTATTATATTAGAAAATAATGTCCAATCTGTTGTAGTTAAATTTGATCGATCTTTGTTTAGTAAATCCAATGTATGCAGAGGAAATGAAGACTAAATATAAATAGAAAACAATATTTGAATTTATAATTTTTGGTCAACATGAGTAAGTCAAGTCAATTTTTGACTTGATTTGGATTATAAAAATCTCTGATTTTCGATAGATTACAGTCATATTTAATCGATCTGAAAAGTTAGGAAATAGTATCAAACCAAACATGTATGATCATAATTAATCACATACGAAGACAAAAATGCTCGTTTACAAGTATATAAGAGTTTCATATTCTTCATCTTCTTAGAGTTAAATGTTTAGTCAATCGATCTTTCAAAAATTTTAAGATTTATTTTCATCGCGAAAGAGGACGAATACTCTTACCTTTCAGTCATTCTTCGGTATCGGATACTACCTACATGCAGTTTCATCAGCTCGGTATCTTCCCTATAACTATTACTATCTGCAGCTCTGAGTTCTTTTACTCAATCTTCTATACATACTGATTAACCGCAAATTAGTTAAGAGAGTCAACATATGTTAAAATCTAATCAGCATGCTAACAGATGAGTGATCCGAGCTAATCAGCCGTTTGTGACTTGTTGAACGTCATTCCATGACTGATAGTACTGAGGCATGAACATAATAATCTTTCGGCTATGTATCGAACCACGTGATCGCTTAAACATTGCGATCCTGTTTATTAAATTATGAATCGTATCTTGTTGGATGGATCACAAGATTTATTCTATTCTTTCTTGTAAATCCATAAACATTTATAGCACATATGAATATAAAATCAAATTAATTTAATTATGAGATCTTCTTCATCGATATTCATCCGTTAAAACAATGATCTATAACTTATAGAGAATTTTTATTTGAATCAGAAATATTTTAAACATTACAAATTGTACATGATTATAAACAGAAAATGTTATCAATAGATACATCGAACAGTTTATGAATTATAATTCACTACTATAGTTTATTAATAACGTCTAACTTCTGTTGCAAAAGTCGTCGCATCAAATATTCATTTGTTTTTCGACTATTAATAAGTAATTGTTAAGATTTAAAAACAGTTAGTTAGAATCGGAATGTTGTGTTCTTTCTCAGCATTATTGTAGAGCACTCAATTCTCAAATTACATCACTCTATAGCTAAAAAAAAAAAGAAACGGAGAAGTTGTGTACGTGCTCCTAATAACTACTTTCCGTAAGAGATATAAAGAAACAAAGGTAGATAACACATTATATAGAGCAAACTTTGTTCTACAAAACTGATCTGTTAAAAGATGTTTCATGTTTTAATTTGAATGGTTTTTCAATTCTAAATTTCAACAATTGATTTTTAATAGTTTTATGCAAAGATTTGTGCAACAGAGATAATTAATTTTATATAAATTTGTATCGTTGTACGTTCATTATAAATGCATCAAGAATTTCAATATTATTATATCTCTTACCATTCTTGTTTGTTGTATGATGTTTTGTTGATTTTGAAGTTTCATTGTTGAAAGTAAATTTTTTTCACTTAAATCTTTACGAATAAGATCACGACTCATACCAATTGTAAGACATTTAGCAAGTCGACAAGCAGAACAAACTCGTCGAGTTTGTATTGTTATTTCACAATTTCCATTGAATCGACATGGATGAACTTCCTATGAAAAAGTAATAAAATAAAAATGAAATAAATCAATACTAACTTCAATATGAAAACCATGACGACGAAAAAATGTTTTACAAGATGCACAAGAAAGTGCACCATAATTAATAATTCGTGCTTTATCACCACAAACTAAACAAATTGTTATTTTAGCTGCATATCTTGCTTGCCTTTTTAATGGATCAGCAATAATTTGAACGAATTCTGGTAATTTAACTAATGATTGTTCATATGTCATTAGATAGAATTTTATTTCTATTCTTCAAATAAAAAACAAATAGTTGTAATTTGAAAAATTTTTCTTTTCGTCGCATCTTTATTCTTTCAACACTATTTATTAACAAAAATAAATCGAATCGATTGACTTCAAAAATCATTCAACATGAATTCTTTTACAAAAAAAAAAAATTTTTTTATCGTAAATATTGTAAGATCGAAGCTACTTTTATTTCGAATGAGAAGATTTTATCAAATCTTTCGTAAATTTATAAATTATTCTGGATCATGACAAAAAAGAAGTTCTTAATTATAATATATAAAGGGGAAACAAATGACAGATGTTTTGATGCTCGCTCTACCATCTTATCACTGAATTTGATAGATAGTAATATTCATCACCGTTTCTTAAGGTCCAGCCCCTACCCAAAATTTTATTTTTGCCTTAAAACATCTAATCTTAACGAAACTTCCAGAGTAGATGTATCTTGGACTGGGCACCTCGTGGTAAAAACTTCAGCTTGAAATCTTGAGCCTTTCAAGAGATAGATTAAGATTAAGATTCAAAACATAGGTCTTCGTGTGTCCCAGATTTCTCCGCCATTTTAAATGTTAGGAAACCCGAGCTGGTTTTAAAATGTAGCCAAGACTTGGAGCTACAACTTAACAGAGTCGGATTTTTTAATTTTTCTGTAGTTTGGTTTTTAAAGAACTTCTACGTCATGATATGAAATTAGTAGGGTGTAAGTTCTCAAACATTTTCTCTTCATCTGCCATCAATCATGAAATTGAGAAATCCGACTTTGTTAAGTTGTAGTGTCAGATCTTAGCTATGATTTAAAACAAACCCGAGCTTTCTAGCTTTCAAAATGGCAAAGAAATCTGGGACGCACGAAAACGTAAAAACAAAAAGTCTCATTTTGAGAAAAACGCAAAATACTTTTTAGAAGTGTATTTTATGACTTTTCATCCAGTAATAGTGTTTTTCTATCATCTTAAATAATAAAAGACACTGTAAACTCATTATGGCTGAAGATATTACGACAAAAGTTTAGTAGCAGGTTCATTTAAATGATCTTAAAAACCAGAAATTAGGAAATGGCATATGATTACTGAATGATATGATAATAAAGTAACTAATATTTTTAAAATCTGAGATAACGGTCATCATATTTCGATAATCAATCATAATTAAATTAATATCCAATAAGTCATCCACATAATCTATGTTTACCGATGATGATGATGAATCCATTCTCTTGTTTTTCACCTGCTGTGATCGAATTTGCCTCATAATAGACCTTCTGCTTTTTTTTTCTGACGAATATTTTCTTTGCTCATTTGTTAAAAAGATTCGTATTACCTCTTTCTTTCGTATACTTCGAATTCTGTTTTTAGATCAGAACAAACACGATGGAAGCATAGAGAACGAACGTAAAAGAAAAATAAATATATATCTCGCTACGTGACAGAATCAGAGTCAAGATAACATTCTGTACAATAGAAAGAAATATATTTTACCGTTACAAATTGAAATGCGCAAAAACATTGAATTATTCGAAAGACGTCGTTTTTCTTGGATAAAAGTTTTCAGAAAAACCTCTGTAAAACCCTTAAAATCCATCGTAAACAAAATAAACTATAGTGTATTCGATAGCGGACGTGATGCTCTACCACATGTACTATTTAAAAAAAATCGAAAAATTTGACAAAAATCAACTTTTTTTGGTTGGGGACTGGGCCTTAATAAAACAGGATGAGTCGAACGGGTTTTTTTTTATTCTAGGCTAACATACCATTGAAGTCTTGTGAACAGAGATGGGCAGCTCCGGTCTTTCCTCGCTCCAGCTCCAGACATCCACTCAGTCTCTTCACTCTGACTCCGCTCCAACGGGAAAATTTATATTAACGCTCCGCTCCCGGAGCGAAGCTAGCTCCGTAGAACGGCTGCTCCGGAGTCGGAGCTGCCCATCTCTGCTTGTGAAACAATCTCGAAAATTATTGTCTTCTTAAATAATGATGATTTCGATAAATTTTTAATTATTTATTATATTTGTATAAATAAATACTAAAAGTAAAGAAACTTATCAAACCTTAATTCTATTCATTATACAGGGTGGCCCAAAAGTCACGTTACCGAGAAAAAGTTGAGTATCTTCATTATGACTTGACCAAATGGGCTCATTTTTTTTACCAAGGATCGAGGCACGTTCATACTCCAAATCCATATAGATAAGGTTAGTGAGAATCTTTGTTATGTGCATTATTTTCTTTTTCTATCTGTGAAAAAGTAAAATTTTCTTATTGAGGTCAATAGTGATACTTGACAAAGGTTCTCACTAACCTTATCCGTATGAATTTCGAGTGTGAACATGTCTCTATCTTTGGTAAAAAAAAATGAGTCCTGTTTGTCAAGCCGTAATGTTGATACTCAATTTTTTTTCTCGGTAACATGACTTTTGGACCACCCTGTGTTTTATCTATGTATGTGTACATATATATATTTCATTATTTATTTCCGTTTTAATTTATTCCGATTCATTATCATAATAAATAAATCCATCTAATCCTGTTGAGATGTGAGAAATCTATAGCTCTTATATTTAACTATGGTGCCCTCAAATGTTTTTTTTTGGAATAAAAACTCTGGAATTTCTCATTAATATTCTAATCATGTAGATTAGAATTGTGACTTTCACATCGGAAAATTATTTATTTATCAGTGAAAGGAATAAAAAAAAAAGTCCTTTTCACCTTTTACTGCTTCTAGATACACGTAATAATTGTAAGAATACGTTTACAATAACTTTAATTTTCTTCTTTAATATTACTTGAAACTTTCAAGAGAACATAATAGATTAGATTTATATCAAATGTAATTTATAAATATCAATTTGATGATTGAACTGGAATGGTTTTTTTTTTTGAGACTTTACAAAAACTAGTTATCCTGATACGAATTGATAATTGCTGAAGAATTCTAAATAGATAAAATAGAATAGTTATTGAATAAAAAACTTACATAGTTTTCAAGGTGAACTTGAACAAATTTCTATAAAATAATTAGTATACTCTTATTAACGTACAATATAAAAAACTAAAGAAGAAATAATTCTATTCTTACTGTCTTCTTCTTCCGCTTCTTTTTTTTTCTATTTCCTTTCTTTTCTGTTGTCGTATTTGAAGAAAATTCATTTTTTTTATATTGAAACCTAATGTAAACATAAATAAAAAAAAAGGAGTTTCTTTAAGTGTGTAGTCTTATCTATTTTAAATCTAATATAAAATTTATATCAATAGATATGATAAATAAATTTTTAATGCTTTTTTTTATAAAAAGAACAAAACGTTATAGATTTTATATATTGAAAATAAAAGAATAAAATAGATAATAATACTATAGTTTCTTTCAAAGATAAAAATGAATCCTTCACATAAAAGAATTTTTTTTTTATTTTGTCCTTGTATGTATTATTCAAAATTTATTTCGACATTATAAAATAGGTAATGAAATCAATTACACATATAACTTATGTATATTTTGTATCATATTCAAGTAATATGTTGGTTTATTTTTTATTTATTTGAAAATAATGCCTTTTGATGATGCTGTAAAGACAATATGAATAATAATGTGCTTTTATCCTTTTCAACTTTCTATTGAGAGCATGCGTAAACATATCTTTTTTCTGAAAGCTAAATATATGATTTTTGTAAGTAGTCAGTTACATTCACAAGTGATGAACTACCTTGTTACTCATCAACGATCAATCTGCATCTCTGAAACGGATATCTATTTGAATCAAAACTCTTCTTGTTCTATTATTCAAAATGTTCGTACACATAATATTAATCACATACTGGTCGTATGCAACATGATTGTATGTCATAATAATGTTGTGAGTCTTATATCTATGGAAAGTTCAAATAGTTCATATTATCTTCTCACATCATATATTTAGATTTCGAAAAAGAAATGTTTTTAGTCAAAAACGGTTAAACGATATTTATTTATTCGTTGTATTATTATTTTATCCTTAGAACGCCATTAAAATACATCAATTTCAAATAAATAAAAAATAAATTAATATAATACAATATAGATATATATATATATATATGTAGTTGACCCTATTACCTATGCCATGATGTAGAAATGAATGTCGAACAATATAAGAGAATGAAAAAAAAAAGAAACTTGCATTTGTTCATGGAAGAATAGAACAAATAAGATGCTTTATGCAATTAGTACAATCTAAATGATAATTCATTGGCAATATACATTTTTTTCTCATATACTTAAGTTGAATTGAAAATAGCTTCTATTAATTCTATTGGAGAGAGCACTTGTAACTGTCTAATTAATATGCATGTGTCATGACTAAAAGAAGATGTTGACCTATTTTCTCTTCTCTGTCTACTTGTCATAAAATGATAAGAGAATTCGATCAAGCAATATCTATAGAAGATTTCGACACTCTTGAACAGCTATGTTTAAAAAAAAAAAGGGAACAAATATAATTGTCTATTATATATTTATTATTCATGAAATTATGTCCTTAAACATTTTGATAAATTATCCATTCATTTCTACTACAATAGATCGGATAGGAATATTTCGAATATTTATAATATTGTAAATGAAGAGAAATATTTGTTTTTCAAACAAAATTTATCAACAATTTTTCTATTAGAATATTAAGATTCTTTTAGCCTAAAAAATGTATTTATAGTAATGGAATATATATTTATTATTTTATCGGTCATCTGGATTTTAAGAGAAAAAGGAAAGTATAAATACTACAAAGAATTTTTTTTAGCAAATATTAATCTATTATCTAACTTGATCAATATTTATAAAGATAAAATAATCAATTTATTATTAACATTAAAAAAAAAGTGAGAGGATTGAACATTAATTTCAATCGAATTTCATTTAATGATAATCGAGTAATTTCATTACGCAGAAGAGTTTCACAGCAGACCAGTGTAATAGGTTAGTATACTGTTCGCCTAAATTCT